TCTTTTGGAGGACAGACCCTAAATTCTATCTTAAATCGCAGTCCCAAGAGTTTTCGAAAAAAAAAACAACGGATTTTTCACAGTTTCATCGATGATCCACTTTTACGGATGATCAGGATCTTCTGGAGTAAGTTGCAATGGCTATCCAGGTTCATGATGATGTCTCGACCCTAAATTCTTTCATATATCACAGTGAGAAGTGTTTTCGATAAAACTACGGAGCTCTAGAAACAGTATCATGGATGGACAATTTTTACGGATCTTCTGGAGGACTGTCCCATGGTCATTCGGTTCCATGTTTATGTTAAGACTCCAAATTCATTCTAATATCACAGTTCCACGGTTTTTCGTTCTTGGATCATGGCTTGCAATCGGGCTAAGGCTTTATTGTCCTCTGCTGTCCGAAGAAGTCGTATCCACTCTACTCGATCCATGGACAGACTTTGCCAGCCTCGTAGTCTGCGAAGGGTCCGCAGGTCGCCTTCTACTTGGTCGATCCACCTTGCCCGCTGCGCGCCTCTTCTTCTTGTTCCTGTTGGGGCGCTTTCGAGAACCATTTTCACTGCGTCGTCGTGCGACATTCTTACGACATGCTCAGCCTACCGTAGTTGCCCAATTTTTGCAATGTGAACGATGGAAGGTTCTCCCAACAGTTGGTGCAATTCTTGGTTCATTCGCTTCCTCCACGTTCCGTCATCCAAGGGCACGTTTGTCCTCAACGAGCATAGTCACGGTCTCGTGGCTGTAGACGACCACCGGTCTAATCAGCGTCTTTTAGATAGTCAACTTTGTGGCAAATTTTATTCGACCAGAGCGTCCTCCGGAGTCCAAAGTAGGCATGATTCCCTGCCATAATGCGTCTTTTAAAATTCTCTGCTGGTATCATTTTCGACGTTCACCAGTGAACCCAAATACACGAACTCATCGACCACCTCGATTTCGTCACCGTCAATCTGAACTCGAGGTGGGAGGCTAACATTGTCTTCCCTAGAACCTCTTCCTTTCATGTATTTTGTGTTTAATGCGCCTTCATCTCAAAGTTCCGTGCCATGATGTCGATGTCATCGGCGAAGCCAAGAAGCTGGATAGACTTCCTGAAAATCGTGCCACTCGTGTTTATCCCTGCTTTTCTTATCACACATTCTAACGCAATTTTGAATAGCAGACACGGAAGTCCATCACCTTGCCGTAACCCCCTTCGAGATTCAAAGGGACTCGAGAGTGTCCCCGATACTTGAACATCGCACATCACTCGATCCATCGTTGCCTTGACCAATCGCGTCAGTTTATCTGGAAATTCGTACTCGTGCATAATCTGCCATAGCTGATCACGATCGATTGTGTCGTATGCGGATTAGAAATCGATGAACAAATGATGTGTAAGCAAGTTGTATTTGTGGCATTTCTGCAGAACCTGCCAAATCGCGAATATGAACCCAGAAATCCCTGCTGGTATTGCCCAAGCAATCTCTTGCAAATGGTGACAGGCGGCGGCGTATAATTTGGGAGAGTACCTTGTAAGCGGCGCTCAGCAGTGTGATCGCGCGGTAGTTGCAGAAATCCAACTTGTTGCCCTTTTTGTAGATTTCTTCACTCCTCCGGTAATATCCCCTCCTCCCAAATCTTGGTAATTACCCAGTACAGCGCTCTAGCCAGTGCTGCACCACCGTATTTTAATAGCTCACTTGGTTGTTGATCTACACCAGTTGCTTTGTTGTTCTTCAGTCGACCGACCTCAACTTCTGGAAGATCAGGGGCCAGTAGCCTGCAGTCTTCTGCACATGCTCCAAGGTCTGTTGCCGTGCCACCTTCGTTTTCTGCTGCATCACCGTTGAGGTGCTCGTCATAATAATGCTTCCACCTCTACATTTTATGGAGTGACCATTTTACGGATGTTGTTGATCTTCCGGACGACGGTCCCATGGCTATCTAGGTACATGTTTATGTCACGATCTCAAATTCATTCTTATATCACAGTTCCTAATCTTTTTGAAAAAAAAAACAAACTCAGGATCAGTTTCATTGATTAACCTCTTTTACGGATGTTCTGGACTTACCAGAGGATGGCCCCATGGCCATTTGGGTCCATATTTATGTCATGACCCTAAAATATTTCTTATATCGCAGTTCCACATGCTTTCGAAAAAACCATAGAACTCTAGGATCAGTTTTGAGGATGGACCATTTTTAAAGATGTTCTAGATCTTGCGAAGGACGGTCCCATGGCCTTCTGGGTACATGTTTATGTCACGAATGCAAATTAATTTATATATGACAGTTCCAAGTGTTATCGAAAAAACCATGGAGTTCTAGGATCAGTTCCATACATTGACCAATTTTACGGAATTTTCGAGGACATTCCGATGGCCATCTGGGTCCATGTTTACGTCACGATCCCAAAATCATTCTAATATCACAGTTCCTAACGTTTTCAAGAAAACCACGGAGCTCTAGGATCAGTTTCGTGAATTTTCCACTTTCACGGATGTTCCGGATCTTCCAGAGCACGATCTCATGGCCATCAAGGTCCATGTTTAGGTCACGACCACAAATTCATTCTATCATCTCAGTTCTTAGTGTTTTTTCAAAAACTTCGAAATTTTTCGGATCTTCCGGAGGACGTTCCGATGGCCATCTGGGTCCATGTTTATGTCACGATCCCAAAATCATTCTAATATCACAGTTCTTAACGTTTTCAAGAAAACCACGGAGCTCTAGGATCAGTTTCGTTAATTTTCTACTTTCACGCATGTTCCGGATCTTTCGGAGGTCGGTCGCATGGGCATCCAGGTTCATGTTTATGTCACAAGCTTAAATTCTTTCTATCATCACAGTTCTTAATGTTTTCAAGAAAACCACGGAGCTCTAGGATCAGGATCGTGGATTTACCACTTTTACAGATGTTCCGGATCTTCCGGAGGATGGTCCTATTGACATCCAGGTTCATGTTTATGTCACAAGCCCAAATTCTTTCTATCATCACAGTTCCTAATGTTTATAAAAAAACGCGGAGCTCTAGGATCAGGATCGTAGATTTACTACTTTTACGGATGTTCCGGATCTTCCGGAGGACGGTCCGATGGCCATCTGGGTCCATAACCCAAATTCATTCTTATATCACAGTTCCTTATGTTAAAAAAAAACACGGAGCTCTAGGATCAGTTTCATGGATTGTCCACTTTTACGGATGTTCCGGATCTTCCGGAGGACGGTCCTATGGCCATCCGGGTACATGTTTATGTCACGACCCCAAATATTTGTTTATATCACAGTTCCTAATGTTTTCAAAAAAACCGCAGAGCTCTAGGATCAGGATCATGGATTGACCATTTTTACGGATGTTCCGGATTTTTCGAGGACCGTTCCGTTGTCTCCAGGATCCATATATAGGAACCATGACTGTATTCTGGCTAATTGTGAACATTTGTGCCCATTAATCTAAATTACAGATCTTGCGCCACTTGCAAAACCCTACAAACACACCTTTCAAAAAAACGTGTAACAACTCTTTTCGCTTTTTAAAAAAGTAGATGACTCTAAGACATTAAGAAATGGCTAAGTTGTGCCATTGCAAACTTGCCGTTACACGTTTTCCGGAGGCATCGTATTCGGAGTGTTAAACCTTGGGCTTGATTGATAATGAAAAAAAGCTCCTTATGTTAATGCAAACATGTTTACAAAAGGGTACGGCCCTGTCGTAGTTTTAAACATCCATGCCTCTCACACCAAAGTCACTAGTTCAAATCTCATCCTCGGACAAATCACGAATGACCCAATATTTGCAGAAAAACTCTGAAAATCACTTTTTTAGGCTTGAGATGTTGCAGGAAATATGCAAACAATGTCTCGTTGATTTATCGCCAGAAAATCTGGAACAAATCATCAATCACTTACGCCAATATTAATATTATTTTTTTTAATTTTTTTTTTTAATTTTATATTTTTGAGCTTTTTTTCCGAAACCTACATTTTATGATTGAAAGCCAATATTTGTAAATAAAATTTGTTATTACCAATAATTGTTCTGATTTAGTATGGACCACAAGGATAAACTATTGAACATTTTGATTTCATTTTATTTAGGGGAGAATGGTATACAACGCACCCCCTGGGCAGAACGCACCAGCTGACTTTCATTTGTGTTTTTCATGGCTTTTACGTAAATTTTTTGTTGTCTTATCAAGCAGCACTTCTAGCATAGCATCTGAACTCAAAATCCTGCATGATAAATCCTAGAATTGGATTAAAAATTCCAAGAAAAACTCAAAATAAAATGAAAAAGTGTTTCTTACCCCGGGGGTGCGTTATGTACTGTTCTCCCCTACATAAATCCACTTTGATAAATCTCAAACGAGCATTACTTCTAAGCTATGTTGTGCAGACTGGCCTCCTTATGAAAGCCACTATTTGGTGGTTCTGAAAGCTTCATGACAAAGTGTAATTTTGGGCCACCCTACTCTATAGTCATCATAATTTGACGATACGCTTGCAATTCGTAACATAAATGCTGTTTGAAATTGTTGAATCAACTTCGACTGCAAAATATTCGATGTCACTTCAAAACGCTCAGTATTCATTCGTGGTCATCGTCGTACTGGTAGATCGAATGCACGCATGGGAAATATTCCTAGGCATTCTGGTCGTCGACAAAAGACACACCGAGAAGGTATAAGCATCTCTTCGTGCTCAAAATAGCTATGCGCACTAGCCGACCCATTACTGTAGAGGCTAAGACAGCAATTCGAGTTACCACATACTTGCTAGAATTAATAAAATAATTATTTTTATCATCTACCAACGACGGCGCGTTGGGGAAAATCGTTTTGCATTTTCCCTTTCAGAACGAACCTTCACAACAAAAAGACATAAAATTGCTTGTGACAAGCCGAAGCAATAGTGAAATTTTATCATCTTACCACGCAGGCTCAGTGGGCGTAAACGGGTATTGGTAATTTTGGCTAATAATATGGGGCCAACCAAACGGGGACACTATTCCCAGGTCTGATCAGTCTTTTCTCGGCCGCGACAGTTTCTGGTTGCGATAACACGATTCTCAGTGCATAAACGGTGCATATAGTGCAGAAGGCAAAATGTGTGACGACGATGCAGGGGCGCTTGTTGTTGACAATGGATCTGGAATGTGCAAGGCTGGTTTCGCGGGTGATGATGCCCCGCGTGCCGTCTTCCCGTCTATCGTCGGTCGCCCACGCCACCAGGGTGTGATGGTCGGTATGGGCCAGAAGGACTCGTATGTCGGTGATGAAGCTCAATCGAAGCGTGGTATCCTCACCTTGAAGTACCCAATTGAGCACGGTATCATCACAAACTGGGATGATATGGAAAAGATTTGGCACCACACATTCTACAATGAGCTACGCGTAGCCCCAGAGGAGCATCCTATTCTGCTGACTGAAGCTCCACTGAACCCCAAGGCCAATCGTGAACGTATGGCGCAGATTATTTTTGAGACCTTCAACTCGCCAGCCGTGTACGTGGCCATCCAAGCTGTTTTGTCTCTGTATGCTTCTGGGCGTACGACTGGTATCGTGTCTGATTCCGGCGATGGTGTTTCTCACTGTGTTCCGATATTTGAGGGTTTTGCATTGCCGCATGCCATCCTCCGTCTGGATATGGCTGGACGTGATCTTACCGATTACTTGATGAAAATTATGACTGAGCGAGGATACTCTTTCACCACTACTGCCGAGCGTGAAATCGTTCGCGACATCAAGGAAAAGCTGTGCTACGTCGCCCTGGATTATGATCAGGAATCTGTAACTGCATCGGCATCTTCGTCACTGGAGAAGTCTTATGAACTTCCCGACGGTCAGGTCATAACCATTGGTGCTGAACGTTTCCGTTGCCCAGAAGCCCTCTTCCAGCCATCCTTCCTTGGTATGGAAACAAACGGAGTACATGAAACCGTGTACAACGCCATCATGCGTTGCGACGTTGACATCCGTAAGGATTTGTACGCCAACATTGTCTTATCTGGTGGTACCACCATGTATCCAGGTACTTGACGGGCTGATTTCGATTGTGGGGAAATATCTTTCATTGCGTGTATTGTTTTAGGTATTGCTGATCGCATGCAGAAGGAAATCACTGCCGTTGCACCGACCACCATTAAGATCAAGATCATTGCCCCACCAGAGCGTAAATACTCCGTCTGGATCGGTGGATCCATCCTGGCATCTCTCTCTACCTTCCAGTCGATGTGGATTTCAAAGCAGGAATATGATGATTCAGGTCCCAGCATTGTACATCGCAAGTGCTTCTAATCCTAGGGGAACGTCACTCCATTTCTCAGTAAATGATACAATCCAGGTATTTCTGTGCATTAGGATTTACCATGACTTGAAAACGAAATTACTTGTATTTATTGCATATTTTTAATGCTTGAAATAAAGTTTAAGCAAACACTATTTAGATCATCATTTGTTTGAGGTGTTGTAGGCGAAGAAACTGAACTAACCTGGGTGCTGTGTACTCACTCAATTTATTTGTTTACTGGGAGCTGAACATTCCGTAGTTACAAATGTAGTTACACTTCCTATCTATCGTCAAGTAATGTCATCTCGTAGAAATGAACCATATTTTTTTAAACACATTATTATTTAATAGTAAGCAACAGGCAAAGTGAAGAAAGCACAAAAAAACCAACACAGTTCTGATGTCTGTGCTGGTTTATAATTCCAATAAAATTTACTTTTGTGTCACAAGAATGTAAAAAACTTTTAAGAGTCATGAGAGTCAAGAGCAAAATAACTGTTTGTTTAGACTCAAATGTTTATAAAGCTTAATACAGAGATTTTTAAAAAGAAAAAAACATGGGGCTTCTGTATTTGAGTTCATTTCTTCCCGGGAGGTGACTGCTTTCTGCTTACTTTTTTCAGCTCCTGCATCTTTCTTCTTTCTGAACTTTTCCTTATTTCCCTCCATTATTGCTTTTTCAACATTACATTCCAGCTAAGTAGGGGAGAACAGCCCATAATGCACCCCTGGGATAAAATACCCACTTGTAGAAAAACAACAATAGCTTTTCCTCAGATACTTTTCCGGGTAACGGATTCTGCTTGTCGTCATCTGGAGGTTTTAATAAATAATTCAAGCGTAACTATTCAAATCGACGTATCTGCTTTTGTAAACAATCAATTCAATCGATGATTTGTCTTAACTGCTAACTCACCCACGCAAACACTGTCACCAGGTAGGGGAATCTTTCCCCTACTAGCTGGTGTTGTTAGTTTCTGTGAGTGAGCTAGCAGTTGCCACAAATCGCCGATTGAAGTGATTGTTTACAAAATCAGATACGTTGATTTGAATAGTTACGCTTGAATTCCTGAAAATGAAATCATAGGGGAAATGCAGGTAATGTCGGCTTAAGTGTCCCTAATTTGGGCCCATACATAAATTCAGCAATCGACTAAATTTTCAATAGCAACCAAAAATATCCATTAGTAACGTCCCAATAACGCGTTCATCTAGATAAAATTGATAAATAGCAGATTTTTAGCGATGGGCCCAATCTTAGATTCATAGGCCAACATTAGAGACATTTCCCTTATATTGACATAAGGGAATTTACGTATTCTCGACAATCTAAGCAGCGTCCATGCTTCTATAAGCTTTTTCTCAGCGTCACGCACACATATGACGGGTTTGTTTGTTGAAATGTATCTGCTGCTTGCTTCTCTATCCATTCCAATCGACAAAATTATTCAAAACAGTTTAAAAGCGTTTTTACAACGCTCAAAACTTCTCAGGTGAGTGTGCTTATTGCCAGCATTTGAATTGCGTGTTAACCAACTGTTCTATTATCAGCAAATCTTATTCAACCACATTTTGTTGTGCGTATGTTTCATTAAAAAAACTGACAAATTGCGTTTGCACAGTCATACAAATATAATCAGCTTAAAGCTAAAAGCCTAAGCAATTGTTTGAATACATTCAGGGAAGTGTTTGATGGGAAAATACAATGAAACTAACGTTTGAATTTTGGTTCCCGACTACATTCAATAGGTGCTGAAGCCGGCATTTACCCTACTGATTTCTTTCTAAAATTATAATTTGTCCAAAAGATGACACACTTCTTTAAATCATCGACTACAAATTAAGCATACATCGCAAAAGAATGGAATGAATTTACTTTTCGTAAATTTTATAGATGTTTTAATTTATGAATATCAGTTTAACTCAAGGTTGCAAAGACTCATTTCAGCTAAAATAATGTTTTTCGGAATAATAAAACCAAAAGATGGTATGATGGCATGTTTTACTTGTAACTTACAAGAAGAGGTTACAAAGTATGCGTTGGAAACATAAAACCTGTAAATTTTGCTTTCTATGAATCACACTTTGACTGTCTATGACGGCAGTCATAGATTTTTTGACTCTGCAGATAACGCATAAGCAAAGCATAAGAATAAAATTAATTTAGATCGAAAAGTTTGAGAATTCATGTTTAACAACTGAAAAATTTAGTGAAATCTGCAGGCTGATAAAATCGGGAAAATAGACAAAATCGGGAGCTGACAAAATCAGGAAAGCACTGAATTAGATCTTGAGTTATGTTGGGATTATTGATTCAAATCATATTCATCGGGGTATGCATACACAAAATAGAAAATATGGCCAAAATTGATGCACTCACCCTACTAAATGATCCTCAACGGGAACAGGAATCTATTCCACCACTTCCAACATGGTCTTACGTTACGCTTGTACTGACTTGCCTAATGGAAGACCCTAAGAAAAATGATCTACAGACGAAAGCTACGTGTTTTGTTTTGAAACTCGAGTCATATGGCTAATGATGATTGCGGTTTAATATCCAAAAAAACATTTCCAAAGCTATTCACGACTGCTCGCAGCTGACTTTACTCCCACAATATTAACAATAAATATAACCTTCTCAACCGGTACAGTAGTCACTATTCGTTGCCATCGCAATCAGAATGAACGCAACGTCGATTCATATCATCTCACTGGCTATTTCATTGAGATTAGTTTGGGCAGTGATCGTCAACCAAAGATTTTGCCCAGAACCAATCGTTGAACAAGGTTTATCTGGTGCCGATTGTGATTTTAACGTTTTATATTGGGAGTTGGAGGCAGTTGCACAAATCCCTGCTGCAGGAAATACCATCAATCTTTTTCACATTCCGTATGGACCGATGAGCTGCGTGCGATTTAGATTCTACTGCCGAAAGGAGCAACAAGCTTTCGGTGATTTATATGTCGTACCGATTGAAAATCTATTGCTAGTTTGTCCAAGTATGACCATCTCTAGAGAGGACAATAAATGGAGGGTCGCCATAGCTAACAATCCTTATTCGCAAACGTGTAACGAGGTGGACAAATGGTTGAATTTCGATTTATTTATCTATAGTCAAAATGATTACATTTTGGCTTACGGATGCAGAGAAAACATGGAGTTTTCAAGCACGGAATTCGCAGCATGGATCTTGGTGAACGTTGACAGTACCAAAGAGCGTAAGATGGAAGTTTTGAACATCGGGATCGATATGTTTGAGCAAATCCTGGGACTAAACCGACAATGGTGGATTTACCCGGAGCAGAAATCGGATTGCTACAAGGAACCTAACTGCTCCTACTATGCAGACTGCCTGGTGCAGAATACAACAAAACAAATGGAACAGCTGGGTATGGAAATGTTTGAGTATCATTATATACTATTGGCTCCTGTGACATTCGTTCTGATTACTGCAATTGGGTTGGGCATAGTCAAAATCAACAAAATGCGCGATCAAACCAGAGTGATTCCTTATAATGGCGATACACCGTAATCAAATAATCGTGTAAAACGTGTCGTAATTTGAATTTGACGTGAAATGTTAACAATAATGTTATGTTATGTTAAGTGTTCCTAGACGGAAAAATATGCTCCACGAACACATATCTTACATTACATCATATCTTAGTTTTAATCAACTGAATTTAATTCTGAGTCATCAGTTATGCTTGCATGTGTGTTGGTTTCAGAGCACTGAAATGTAGATGACTTTTTCCTAGATTCTAGCTTAAGATAAAAGTGTGTGACAAAAGTGGTTGTATTACATATTGCTTATTTTGCACCAAAGTAATCATTTTTTTTTCACTCAGTCCAGGCCAAATAAAATTAATGATTTTCAAACTTCATTCACCGCTAGAATGCCTATTTGAATAATTACGAGGGATTATTTCTAGCGCAGGAGTCTTCTTTGGATCAAAATGCGCAATAATTTTAATAATTTTAAAATAAGTTCATTTGACACTAAACAAATTAATTGTTTTGAATTTTTGGAACTGGGTGGTTAGTGGTATTCTCATGAGCATTACCGTAGCTAATGGGGATACTTAGGGTGCCTGGCCCCTCTCCAGAATGATTCAGGTCGTCTTTAGATTTGTTTAATGATTCTCATACCGAAAATGTAAATTATATTAATCTTTTAAAAAATCAAAATTACACGTGGTTTTTAATTTAATAATTTTGGAAGAAAAACCTTTGAAGAAAAAAAGACTACAGAAGCACAAAAAATTAAGTCTGGTAGAACAGACAAATAAAAAACATAAAAAAAAACACATATGCGATCAACTGGAATTAGCCATCAGTAATGAATTTGAAGAATTGAATTCAAAAACTAAACATGAAATAAAGTCCTGTCCAAAGAACTTCTTCAATTACATAAAAACCAAATTAAAATCTGACAATTTTCCATCAATAATGCATCTTGACGAACGTGTCAGGTATACCTCGGAAAAATTGTAATATCTTTGCTATTTTTTCAAAAAATCAATACGACATTTTCCGAAGAAGATCACGACCGCTATTATTTTGCATTTTTTCCAGAATTTTCAAGGGACATTGGTGTCAATCCACTTCAAGTGCAGGATATTTTGCTGGCTTTAAAAAATTAAACGCTTAAAAAGGTCCTGGATCTGACGGAAGGAATTCCTCGAGTATTTTTTAAAAAGTCTAGCAATGGAACTCACTGCTCCATTGTTTTGGATTCTAAATATGTCAGTGGAATCTGGAAACTTCCCAAAAATGTGGAAAAGCTCATTTTAGAATAGCTATTATCTCTTGCTTTCCGAAGCTTATCGAGGCAATTGTAAAAGAAACATTATTTTTTCAAACCAAAAATAGAATTACTGACATGCAACATGGCTTTTTCAAGGGTCGCTCAACCTCGACAAATTTACTTGAATTTATAGACTATCCAATAAATGCAATGGATAATGGAAACCACGTAGAAGCCCAATATACGGACTTGAGCAAGGCATTTGACCGAATTGACATACCAATGCCACTCTTCAATCTGAAAAAAATTGAACTGAGCCAGGAGTCCTGAAATGGCTTGAATCATGTTTAACTAACCACCAACAAATAATTAAATTCAACGGAAAGAAATCTACCCCAATTCAAG